ACCCCAAAACTTGTAGAAGGAAAGCAGTTCTAACTGCAAATTATTTTCTGAACAAAATTCCATTTAAAGGTAAGGATGTGACTCCTTATGAATTATGGAAAGGCATAAAACCTTCATACAAATACTTAAAAGTGTGGGGGTGCCTGGCGAAAGTGGAAGTACCACCTCTGAAGCAAGTCGCTATCGGCCCGAAGACGGTAGATTGTGTATTCATTGGATATGCACTGAATAGTAGTGCTTATCGATTCATAGTTCATAAGTCGGACATTCTTGAAATGAACAAAGGAACTACGATAGAGTCAAGGAATGCAATATTCTTCGAAAATATCTACCCTTACAAAGAAAAGATCCAGCTTAATCCTGGACCCGTAGACGATAAACTACGTGGTGAGAAAAGGAAAATGATGACTACTCTTGATCAAGAGGTTACTGAACCTCGTCGTAACAAAAGGACTAGAGTTGAGAAAACATTCGGTCCAGATTTTATTACATATATGTTGGATAATGAACCGACATCGATCAAGGAAGCATTTTCTAATCCGGATGCCCCATTCTGGAAAGAAGTCATTGATAGTGAAATAAAATCCATCATGCAAAATAACACGTGGGTGTTAACTCATCTACCCGAAGGTTGTAAACCTTTAGGGTGTAAGTGGATTCTGAAAAGAAATACAAAGTTGATGGATCTATTGATAAATATAAAGCCTGACTCGTGGCAAAGGGCTTTAAACAAAGAGAAAGATTTGACTTCTTCAATACTTATTCACCGGTAACTAGGATAACGTCCATTAGGGTGCTTCTTTCGATTGCTGCTCTGCAAAATCTCGAGATTCACCAAATGGATGTAAAGACTACCTTTCTAAATGGTGAATTAGAGGAAGAAGTATATATGGAACAACCTGAAGGATTCGTTGGTCGTGGCCAAGAGAAGAAGGTGTGTAAACTGATTAAGTCGTTGTATGGACTGAAACAAGCACTTTTACAATGGGCACTTGAAGTTTGATAATATAATGTTATCAAATGGTTTCAAAATTAACGAATGTGACAAATGTGTTACATAAAGGAAACTCCTACCAGATTTCTAATGGTATGTCTATACGTAGACGATCTTCTAATTATGGCGAAAGAAATTTGCCTAATTGAAGAAGTTAAACGCATGTTAAGTAGGAACTTTAACATGAAAGACATGGGAGTCGCTGATGTGATTCTTGGAATGCGAATTCTGAGAATGACGAAGGAATTGTGCTAACTCAGTCTCACTATGTTGAGAAAGTACTGAAAAAGTTCAATGCTTTCGACAATACTCCAGCAAAAACTTCTATGGATCTAAGTGTTCACTTGAGCAAAAACTAAGGTGATCCTGTTGCTCAAGAAGAGTATGCCAAAATAATTGGGAGCCTTATGTACTTAACTAATTGTACAAGACCTGATTTAGCTTGTCCAGTAAACAAACTAAGCCGCTATACTAGCAATCCAAATCACGATCATTGGAAAGCGCTAGTGAGAGTCTTGAGTTATTTAAAATATACTCTCGACTTCGGCATACACTACACTAGATATCCTCAAGTACTTGAAGGGTACTGTGATGCTGATTGGAAATCTGATGCGAAAGACTCATTATTGACAAGCGGATATGTCTTTACGATCGGAGGAGGATCAATTTCGTGGAAGTCCACGAAAACTTGTATAGCTCGGTCCACCATGGAATCAGAATTCATTGCTTTGGATAAAGCCGGGGAAGAAGCCGAATGGCTTAGAAATTTTCTGGATGATATTCCATTTTGGACAAAACCAGTACCTCCAGTTTTGATACATTACGATAGCCAAGCTGCTATAGCAAAAGCTAAGAATGGAATTTACAATGGTAAATCCTGACATATCCGACGCAGATACAATACTGTGAGACAATTGATCACTAGTGGAGTTATAACTATTGACTTTGTAAGGTAAATAGAAAATCTTGCGGATCCGTTAACCAAAAGGTTACATCGTGATCAAATGTTCAAACTGCTAAAGGGAATGGGTCTGAAATCCACAAGTTAAGAGACACTTACAGTGGTAATCCAACCAAAATCACTTGGAGATCCCAAGCTTTGGTTCAATGGGACAACTAATCTATAATTGTTCGGCACGAACACTCAATCTCTATTCCCTGAAAAGCTACGAGTGTTATGAAGTACAAAGTGGTGAGGTTGAGTCACTGACTCTTAATAACCCTAAGAGTAGAGTTGGATACTTTAAGATAGGATTACCTATATAAGTGTGAAGTGAGGGCCACTTAATGAAACACTTATGAATCCAAAGAGGTGATCCATGGCCGAAACGGATCAAAACGTGAGAACAAAATGAGACTGAGATAGCGACATGCCAATATTATTGACTAAGATGCACACCAAGGTGGAATAGTTCAATGCATCGTGTCAATTAGGCCACCTGTGCAGACAATGATATTGACTAAGGAAGGTTCAAAGCCACAAGCTACCTATTTTGACGTGTCAATGTCTCTGGAACTGAGCTGTATCTTGTCCTAATTATGGGCATTTCCACTCATGTGGAGGAATATTGGATAACAGGTTGATTGATTATTAATTTAGTTGATAGAATTTTATTTATAAATTTATAATTTTCAAAACCGATTATTCGGTGAGTTAAAATACATATAAGCTATATAATGGTTGTCAGAATGTGGTTCAGGCATATAAATCCCGGTAAGCCACAGGCGCGCGCCGCTCACCCGGATCTACGAATGTGGTTGTGGGTTGAGAGATTAGACTTGGGCTTGATGAATATTAGACTTGACGAAGTTTATTATACATAATAAAAAATATATATATATGTATATATTTGAACCCAAAGCCCAAGAAAATAAATTTAGATAGACCAAAATATAGTGATAATGCACATAGTTGCATGCATGAAATTAAAGCACTCTAGTGCATGAAAAAATTAAATTAAATGCATGTAGTTTGCATGCAAGGAAGAAACTTGCATATATTATTATATATGCATAAAATTCAAATATTTTTGAATAATGAAATAAATGCATGTTAATGCATTTGATGCATGCAAATTAATGGAATTCAAACCAATTTGAATTGGTCCTCGTCCGTTTTACCTTAAGCAATCAATTCAAAGTTTAATTGGTTTTGAATGAATTAAAGTCTCCCTACTTGTACATGCCTATATAAAGGCATTGTCTCTTTCATTTAAACACACAACAAACCATTTTTTCTCCCATTCTCTATAATATATATATTTTATTTGTTTCCGGCGATTTTTCCGGTGAGAGTTCAATCAATATTCCAGCCTTTTCCTTTCTAGTTAAACCTTCCGACATAGTAAAAGTTCGCCTCATTTTAGTTCGTCGGAGCTCCGAAATATTAGGGTGTCACCTAATTCGGAGACGAACGTCGTTTCATCTTTGGGAACGTTGCGCCACGAACCGGAGGCACTACCGGGGCGTATTCGTTTTTACGGAGAGAAGTTCTACCTCGACTCGACGTGATTATCGAATTATTTCGATAAAATTATCGTGATGATCAAATTTATTTTGATAAATTGATTATCGAATTTATTTCGATAAAATTGTTGTGATATAAATTATTATTATATATCTAACACTAGTCAAACCAACTAACTAAATCAAGTAACAATTAACAGCTAATAGAATTAGCTAACGACAAAAGACTATAAGCTCATTGTCAAACACCATTGATCTTTGTGGGTTAATGCTTCATAATATATTTTGGTAGCATGTTCCTTTGAGTTTTAGATCAAAGAAAGCCAATTTGAAGATTCTAACGAAGAACACGACGAACGTCTAGAAATTTTGGGATGAATTTGGAGACTAATTATCTTTGGCTTTAACGGTCTTCCATGGATTTTGGAGTCTTAATCTTTTGTACCACTTAAACTTACTCCAAAAAATATCAACTATATCGATTTATCAATCAATATTGAATTATTTGTCAAAATTAATAACTTTCGATGGATAATATTTCAAATGACATAAAAAAAAAAAAATTGTAGAGAGAATTCAGAGAGATGATCGAAGAGTTTTTTAAGATTTAAAAATATCTTTAAGATAAAAAATAATAGATATAAAATAATAATAGTATCTTATGTATTCGTATAGTAACTCTGAAAAATTGGTCAAAACTAAAAAAAATCTTTTTAATAAGTGAATGTCCAAATCGAACTCAAAAAATAAGCTAATATTCTATATTTTATTATTACTTTTTTTAATGAGTTACACCATATCCTATATTTAATTAAAAAAAATTAAATTGAAAATTTTAAATCTTTCTAAAAGTAAAGATTATTTTACAAGAATTACTCCATCCGTCTCATATTTATATGTTTGCTTTTTATACAGAGTTTTAGAAATATTAGTATTATATTATGATATACTCTCTCCGTCCCAATACAATAGTCTTTTTACCATTTTTGTCCGTCCTAGAACAATAATCTTATTTCCATAAATAACCATAAAACTATCCTACTTTTTTTTCATTTTTATTACACAATTGCCGTTACTTTTTACACTAATACACTCATAAGGGCAATTTTTTTTTTATTCATACAATTTACTAACTATCAATATAATATCAATATTTCTTAAATCTCGTCCAACCCAATTACGATTATAGTTCTGGGACGGATGGAGTAGTAGAAATAAAAGTAAAAAATTAAATTAACTTTATTAGTATTGTAATACAAAGGTAATGATATTTTTATAATATATTGTAAATTAAAAAAAAATAAGTTTAATATTAAATAGATAGTATAGTTACTAAAATGACAAAAAAAATATTTTGCTGAGACACGTCAAAATAAAAAAAAAAAAATTGGATAATTTATAAAAAGACATATGGAGATGGAGTAATATAAAATTAATTTTAAAAAAAATTGGTATAAAATTAACGAAAAAAATAATACTAATAAATACGAGAGAGAGGGGCAGGCGCAGCTCAGCTGGGTTTGTACGACGCAATAGCGAAACGACGCGTTGCGTTGTCGTTTTGTTCGTCTTCTCACGTTTCATTTACATTACACCTCAACGCCCCCACCACACCGCAACCACGCCAGTTCGTTCTCTTCCACTACTCTCCCATTTTCCATAAATTCACTCTCCTCCCATGCTTCATCGCAATCTCCACAATCTAAGCGTGACTGCAACCAGCCTGATTTCCCAAGGTATTATATATATTCTGTTGGATTTTGTTTGTTGGAAATGGTTCGAGGTTGAAACCTATTTCAAGCTCCTGGCTGCTCTGTCTTTTTGGGGGCATTGTGCACTCGATTAGGTTTGATTTGCATTCCAGCTATATATAATTTAATCTATTGTTTTCGTTTCAGTTTGGACTTTGGAGATTGCTTAACTATGGTGGAGCAATCATTCATGGAGATATCCGATATGAATTCGAATCAATCTCGCAAGCGACGGCGAAAAATCGACCACAGTTCCGCAGCTTCATCTCCAGCGGACTTCCGCACTCGCTGGAAAACCGAAACCGAGCAACAGATCTATTCGTCGAAGCTCGTCGACGAGTTGCGCCGCCTCCGCCGCCCTGATTCCCCCTCCGCCGCCGTCCGCGTCGTTCGCGACGCAGCCGATCGAGTGCTCGCCGCCTCTGCCAAAGGTAGAACTCGCTGGAGCCGCGCGATTCTGGCGGGTCGGCTGAGTGCGAGGCTCGCGCAAATCAATAAGCGACATAAGAAAGCCACGAGAACGACAGCCGGCTTGAAAAGGCCGGCCGCCGGCGAGAAGAAACTGCCGCCTCTGCAGCGGAAAGTGCGAGTACTTAGCCGGTTGGTCCCCGGCTGCCGGAAATTGCCGCTGCCGAACCTTCTAGAAGAAACGACGGATTACATTGCGGCCCTCGAAATGCAAGTCAAAGCCATGACGTTTATCACGGGACTCCTAAACGGCGCCGTTTCCAGCGGTTGATCGACCTCCTGATCGGTCGCCTTTTTTTATTTTTTATTTTTTCTTTCACTATTTTTTTATTTGTTAAATACTACTACTTGTTTTGTGTGAATAATTGAGAATGAATTAACCAAATTACATTCCGTGATACCTTTCCGTTAAGTTTATTAAATTTAAACATTTATAACACCGTATAAATTAATTTAATTAATTTTATAATATATATATATATATAGAGTAAGGTGAACCTATTTAAAATTTATATCTCTAATAAATTTATGAATATTTAAAATTCTATTTTTTATAAAATTAGTTTATCTTAAAATACTTATTTATTTATGCTATTTAAAATGATATATTTTACAAAATGATATTCATATGAGATATAATAATATTTAAAATCTTTAAACATATATTTCAAATTTATTTAAATTATATAATTATTAATTTTTATTTTAAAATTGTTAATAATATTACTTATATAAAAATATAATAAAATAATACTCCTTTCGTCCACTTAGAAGATTGACATTTATTTTTGGCTAATTAAAAGTAATATAATGACATTTTTGCCTTTACTTTTTTTTTATATAAAAGTAATGATGTGATGTAAAGTAAAGGTATTTGTGAAAAAAAAGTAAAATATTTAATGAAATGTTAACTTTGTAATTGTACGTCCCAAAATAGAAATATGTAAACATTTTATAAATGGATGGGGGGAGTACTATAAATCACTATTATTAACTAATTAAACTATTTTACTTTAAACAATATGTTTCATATAAAATGATTTATTTCAAATGGAAGGAGTATATTTCAACCATCCAATTAATTAGAGTATGTGTGCATTATTATTATTATTATTATTATTATTATTATATATTTTCTTATAAAGTGAGAATTCGACGCTGCTACCTGTTCTAATATTCTATAAACTAGATCGGACAAAGTAAGTGACACTAGACGAACCATATATGATAGATAACTTGTGACGTTGGGAATTTAAACCAATGATATTATTATTATTATTATTATTATTATTGGAAGTAGTAGCAGTATGTAGTTAAAAGCTTGATATTTAAGTTGGAGAAAAAGGACAAGATAGAATAAAGTAGAAAAAGTGTAGGAACAGGCGTAGGCAAAAGCAGCCAAAAAAACAGCCTAATAAGGAGCAGCAGCCCTGCTGTTGGCTCTATTGTCAAACACACCCACGCCTACGCACGTGGGACTTCAGCAGCGGATTGGATTGGATTGGATTGGCGTGGGATCACATATCCTACTCAATAGCCGATACCATTTTCTTACACAGCACCAAACTCAAAATCCTATTTTGTGTGATGATGTTAGAGATCTGGTGCCTTTTCTAATAAAATGTTCTATCGGTTTTCTATCCAATAACTATTTTGTAATTATTTTTTAAAGTGAAATTGGATTGAAAACGTCAACAATATTCACTACACATTAATATAATACTTCATTCGTCCATTAAAATTAGTTCATTTGGGCTCGACACGGGAATTAAGAAAAATAAATATTTTATTGAAAAACTGATAGATAGTTGAGGATATTTTTGAAAATTTAGTTAAAAAGTAAAATAAATGAAGAGAGATAATGTAATAAAATTAGTGGTATTTGTTGTAAATAAGTGTTGAATTGAAGGTAATAATTAAATGTTTATTTGTTAGCTTTGCCAAAATTAGTAACGAGATAAATTTAGTGGACGGACTAAAAAGAAGAGTAAAAATAAATTTTGCGACGGAGAGAGTAATATTTTATAAACATTGATTGCATCTCTCTTTTATATCTTCAAATGATATTTTTGGCACTAAACCCATCGTTTTTATTGCCAATTGTCTATTGAAGTATATATAGGCATGGCTCCGACTAGTGGCCAAATTGGGATGAAATTTGAGCGGGGCTAAATTTTAAATTTATAGTAGCATTATTAAAAATTTTAGAATAAAATTATTTACTGTATAATCCTGCACTTGTTAAAATAGAGGTTCTTGTAATTCTTCGTTGATTGAAATAGGAGTGGGGTTCCGTCCCTGGCTCCGACTTAGCTAACTCCATGTACTTGGAAGATTTTTTTTTTTTTTTTAATATGTAAGAGTGGTCGAATTGGTGTGATAGATAAATTTGTAATCATAAAGTCACAACCAACCCTATCTAGTACTCCCTCCATCGTGCAAATGTGTGTTCATTTGACCGAGCACGAGTTTTAATAAAAGTGATTAATAATTGTTAATTTTTCCTTTTATAGTAAAAAATAGTACAAAAATACAATGATTTTTTACTTAAAAAAGAATTGAGAATATTTTTCGATGACCACCCAAAAAGGAAAGTGGACATAAATTTGAATGCCAGAGGGAGTATATATTTAAAAATTAGTGATTATGTATTTTCATGATATTTAAAAAATAATTTTTTATTTTTTATATCTAACTAGTTAACTTTCTTCCGTCTTTGCATAGTGATCAAATTTACTATTACGAGTTAATAAGAAAAAATATTAAAATATATGATATAGTCTCCCTAAACATTATAACTTTAGACATAATTTGTTTTATTTAATTTTTTTTTTATTGAAATACTAACTGAATTGATTTTATTAACCAAATTGGTAACTTATATTGCTTCAACAACTATTATTCATTCTAAGTTGTTCTTTTTCTACATGCAAATTGGGATATCTTTTTCTATGAACTATAGTCTACATACTACTTCACCTATTTGCATTCCATAGTTTTTTTTTTTTTTTTTTTCCTTTTCAAAGAAATTGAGTTAGAAGTCTTCTTCTATATACCGATTTAGACCTCCATTTTACAGTGCCAACCCAAAACGGCTAAGTTTTATCTCCAGGTCAATGTGCTACAAAGAATTTAAGAAGTATTGAATTGACTATCTTTATCAACCATTGTCCGGTCTAGATAAAGGCAATGTTTCAAGATTGACTTGAACTCCATATCCCTAAATAGCTTGTGTGAAGTTGTTTTCTTTGCCTTTGTCCTTCCTTGATCCCCATATTTATTCAAATATGTGGATCTTGTACATCATATATTGATGTCTTCCTTCAAACTAATAAAATAATAGTGGGGCTCTCTATTTCAATTCTCATGGTTGACATCATTGAATGTTTATATCAGGAAACTTAGCATTTAGCCCGCGGTCTAATCATGAAGTTTGCGAGTGTCAACATGCATATTGAATATTTTTTATCACTATTTCTAATCATGGAGGATAAAGGTTGAAGATACCACATATAATATGATTCATTTATTATTGTTGTTTCAGTCATGTATTGGCTATTTTTTAATCCTTTTAACATTCCCGAAAAGGACTAGCCGGTGGAAAATAAGCATCACATCTATTGAGTCTCTACCTAACAAGGTTAAATTTAATGTTTTTATTCAATTATAATGAAGGCTAATGCAAGGCTTTCTCTGTGACAGTCACCACAACACTGATCATCCATAATCAATTATGGATATTCTCTACAAAATCAATAGCCTAAAAGTGATTAGAGATCAAATCTACCCACATTTCGAATCATAAAAAATAGTATCATATTAGAGAAATTGTCTCTGTTCGCTAATACCTTTTCAATAGCACGCCCTTCTATTGATGCACTAAAGTATAAAAGCTTGAGGTGATGTAACTGCTCTTTTCGAGTTTGTGGGAAGACAATGACTTCTTGAAGAAACTTTTCTCCATTGAAGAGGTTTGCTTCATCCATCTCAAATTTGTTATCCATTTTATTCTTTTTAGAACCATTAGCTCACGAGGCTTCTCGTTGGATTATATGGATTATAAAATAATAGCTTGTTGCCCATTAGGATATATTTTCTCATTTATTGATTAGTCTTCCACCATCTAGGATAATTAGTCCATATCCTAATTTTTTTAGGTCTATATATCCTCTGATGTTATGTAGTCTAGCCTAGGTCATTGGACCGTGCTTGATGGTTTATAGGTTTTTATGACATGTTGATCATGTTGTTCTGCAAGTTATCTTGCCTTCTAGGTTGGGCTTGATAGCATACGTACCTCTATAGCCTTTGACTTGGGATTTTTATAGTAGTAGATTGTCTATTTAAAATCAGTTAGAAAATCCGAGAGATCAACATTGCTAAGTAGACCCAGAACCTATCTCGAAAGTGACTCATTGAATCTGATTTGACTTAGAAAATATGGTAGAAAGATTAGTAGTGAAGTAATATCTCAATTCATCAGTTTCAAGTTTTGAAATGAACAACTAATTGGTCATAAAAAATAATTTCAAAAATACAGTGTTAGTCCAATAATTGAAGTTTACTTTATCTTTTCATGAGTATCTATAGGCTAAAATAAACCATTGTATCAGAAGATAATTCGTGAGTGGAAGTTTTATGTAATCATTTTTCCGCAACACTCTTCCATACAGAGTCATATACATATATCATGGTTCTCTAATTTACCGAAGGATATTTTTATCTTACTTCATTACTTTAATTAAATAGTATATTATTACTCACTAATTATTTCATTTGTAAATTCCGGACCATTCTTCAATAGCATTCATTCTTCCATCGAATCTCAAATTCATTATGCTATTTATTTGTGATTCATCTTATTGTTTCACTGTTATATTGCTTTCTTCATTTACTTTTTCTAGTGTAATTTTAGTTTTAGGCCAATTCAATTTTCTCTTTCAATGTTCTGATAAAGTATTTTGTGACACATTTACCATAGGTAAATACTATCCAAGAATATTGATAAAAATAGAAAATAATGATATTTTATTAATGGATAAGGAATTGAATCTGTGTTAACACTAAGAAAATAGTAAAATAAGCTAAATGTGAGAATGTAAATGAAAGGGGTGTTGGACATGCGACTCATATTACAAGTGGTGTCAGTCAGCCGACAAAATATTTAGAGCGAAAATTTAATTCTCATGAATGAAAATATGATAATGATTATAATGATAAAAATAATTGAAATTGACCCCTAATTATAGCCATTGACAGAGCTTTTTTAGAAATTTTGTGGTCATTGACAGCTAATACCCAATTAGAAGTGTTGAATTGCAGCCGTCCAATCCCAAATATACAAATTTCAAGAATGGATCTTCCTCTTACGCTGAATTGGATTTCACAGTCTTCACAG